CATCGTTGCCAACATCTTTTCACTAAAACATATTTCACTTGACGACGATATTGTGATGATATTGCAAAAAATATATAAAAACTACACTAAAAAAAAATTCATTCTATTTTATTGAAATTAAACAATGAATACAACATACCTGATAATTTAAAGAAAACAAATAATTAAGATTTGTTTGAAGAAATAATCCAATAGTGTATTGTAACTGATTCGATTTCGGAGGAGGATTATTGATACTATAAATACGATAAATTGTATATGGTAATGATAAGATAATGAAAAATAAAACACGAGTTAAAATCATTGCTGTCATTTGTTGATCCAATCGACGACGAATAATGGGAATTTGTCGACGAATTATACGACGAACATTTCGAAAAGCTAATAAACTAAATAAAAATGCCACAGCAATTTGTACAGGACCATATAGAAATGGATAAAAGAAATATGTTGAATATGTAGTTAATATTGGATTTGCAATAATACATCCAAACAATGGTTGAATATTAAGAAAAAGACTAAATACGAAACTATGAATAAACCAAAGACAACTAGAAATAGACATTAGATAATGAACTAGTTTCAATGTGCACAAATGTCTAATAGAAAAATGATAACTTGTCGAACAGAATTGATCACAAGCAGCACAACATATTGTAAAAAATAAAATAAGTGATAGACCTTGATAAAATATGAATCTCATTCTACACCAACTTAAGTTGCTATCACTAAGATCATATCCATATGCTATTCGTAATAATACATTCGTTGTGGAAATAAAAAGAAAAATAAGTGCTATAATTGATTCAATAATAATATAAAGAGCATATCGATTGTTACGAAAACGTTTCAATTGAGTAAAAACTAAAAGATTCAGAATATGACCAAAAATTCCACCAATGATTGCGAGATAATTTACATAGACGCTATATTGTCTAACAGTATTTAGAATATCGCCAATTGTTGATGATGATGACATTATACTAACTTTGAATTACTTTATAGTATGAAGCGAGTCAAAAAGTATGGAAAAAGAAAAGACTGTAAGCACATTATAAATTAATTTAAATATCTATTAAAATTCTCTTTCATAAAAACATCCTCTTGGTTTTCCACTGAAAGCTAATTAATCTATCGATTGAATAAAAATTTACAAAAAAATATCAAATGACTATTTTCATTAAGAAATAATTAGAACAGATAACAGATGCGATTGAATAAATGATGGTCTATGTGTATTTGTACCATAACTTTTGCAATTATCATCGTACGGAACTAATTTCTTTGAATATCATCATTGTTGTGCTCAGAAAGTAAAAGTTTTTGACACGAGTGTATGGTTGGATATGAATGAGAAATAAATAGAATATACATATTCACAAAGTCAGTGCAGGATTTGGAAGTCATATTATCTCATGATAATAAGTAGAAATATTATCCAGAAAAGGAAAGAGTAATGAAGTTCCACGATAGTTTACTTGATAATGCACTTCGTACTAGTAGAGGATATAAAATCATTAGTAACTTTATACACTGATGATATGAATACGTGCTTACTTGTTTTAGAAATGCTTAAAAATTCAACACAAAACATGAAAGAAGTGAATATAGATGCAACTGTGAAGGGCACTCTGACTAGAAACTATAGTACACTAGTTAAAGTCACAGTTAGAGCCGTATATTCACAGAGTGTGGTTGTAGTATCAGCAATGGTATAGATGTCAACCTGGATATAATAAGAGTATAGCACCCACACCCATACTCACACACTATCGATATGGTTCTTCTTCTTTTTCTAATGCTTTCAATGTTATTTATGTTTCAAAAGCAAATAGTATTCAATACATTAAAATGCGCACTTTTTATGCGTAGCAGCATCGTCTCTTTCATCCTTCTATCCGAATAGTCGAAGAATGAAAAATCACTCAGTTTTGTTCGCACATGCATATATATCCTTTATGCTGCTGTCCAAAACCAATGCAGACGTGAATTTGAAGTTGTTTTAGAGACTACCGCCTAAGATGACCAAATTTTCTATCTTATCGACGAGAAATTTATATTCAGTTCTTTTTCACTCTAATGAACACTATCTTACGGAACCATAAACGAACAGGGAAAGACCACCAACTATTCAATCAATTTTGAGTACGCAATATATGCATCGCGAAGACCATGCTGAGTCGTGAATATCTGAGCACAGTTCAGCGTGCTGGTCGATTGCTGTACAGGTAGCACATTTTTATAGTTTTTTGGCCTCAATCAGTGTTTTATCCAGCTTTATTCGTCCGAGGGTGCGAAATTAACTGCCGGGGGGGGGGGGGGGGGCAAAAACCCCCTTTTTGGGGGGGGAAACGTAGAGTTTCAGACTCAAAAAGCGTAATTTTTCTGAATTCTGGGGGGGGGGGGCAGGAGCACCCTCCGATAGGGCAAAAAGCCCCGTGCCCCCCCGCTGGATAAACCACTGGCCTCAATATTCTGATTCTCTGATGAATTTCAGCAAAACGTAGTTTCAGATTTTGAATAGAAAGTCTTTAGAGATACCAGTTCAAGAGGAAAAGTACGGAATCCTAAAGTTCTGAATTCCTAATGATTTTTTAGTATTCTCAAGATTCCCTAGAATTCCTTCGGATTCTTCAAGATTCTCTGGGATCATTTAGGTTCTCTCGGATTCCGTTAGATTCCATTCGAATCCTTCAGATTCCTACAGATTGCATTGGATTTCCTGACATTCCAAGATTCCAAGATTCCGTACTTTGCCCCTTGGGGTGTAGATGCGGTGTTCATATCTTCTATTGATCTAAACCCACACCGACACTGACACCCACACTCAAACCCAGATACCCACCCTTACTCATCCTAACTCACCAACGCCCACACCCACATCCTTTTCATACCTATTTCTGGACTCGATCAGGACCAGTAAAAAGAGAAAGCACGTCGTACAAAGAATAGGTGGAAGATAAACAATGAATTGCATTGTTCTTTCAAAACTCACTCGATGAGACAGAGCATGTCAATGCTGACGCAGACGAATGCAAAAAAATAAGTTGGAAAGAATAATACTGTAATCAAATACATTCTTGTTCTTTTTTTCGTTCGTTTGCACGTTGCTAACGAACTGTTTGTGTGCGTTTCTTTTATCTTTCACCACATTCTTTTCAATCCAAACCCGATAAAGTTTACTTTCATGTTTTATGAAATGCATCAACATTTTACGTTCTAGAAAAATCCAGAAAAGAATGAGCGGCTGGCTCTATAAATAGATGATGTGATGTGATCTCTCTCTTTTTGTATCACCATTTAATATTCAACGTTTCGTATTAATAATTAAACTATAAGATACAGCGATATGTGTGCACAAAAAACAAATACTACTTCAAGAACGGCAGCAGCAACATCTCATGTGGACTATCCTCAGCATCGCATTGCTCAAAATTATTTACTTGTCTGGATGGATGTCGATATTGATCAGACCAGTGAGGACTGTCAAAATGCACTGGCTCAACTGTCTCACATCGTCAATGATGTGAACATCTTTACACAAACTGATCAATGCATCGAGTTCCTTAACAGTATTGACAAACAAAAGGTCTTCATCGTTATCTCAGACACTCTGGGTCAACATTTAGTTCCGGACATTCATCTTCTGCCACAGCTAGATGCCATTTATATCTTCTGTAGCAATAAATCACACGATGAACAGTGGACACAAGAATGGAATAAAATCAAGGGTGTTTATACGAACATTGAGTCCATCTGTGAAGCACTGCAAGTGGCCGTGAAACAATGCAATGAAGATTCTATTCCGGTAAGCTTTGTTGACACGAATGAAGGAGGCTTTGAGCAAAACTTGAACGAACTCGAGCCGAAATTTATGTATACACAAATCTTCAAAGACATTCTTCTTGAAATGGAATATGACAACAATGCCGTCAAAGACTTGGCCACTTTCTGCCACAATCTTCATCATGGCAATCTGTCACAATTAAAGATTGTCGATGAATTTGAACGTAATTATCGTCCACAGTTGTCTATCTGGTGGTATACACGTGAATGTTTCACCTATCAAATGCTCAATCGCGCACTTCGCACCCTAGAAGGTGATATAATCATTAAAATGGGCTTTTTCATTTGTGATCTACACCGAGAAATTGGAGAATTACATCAAAAACAGGTCAGTAACTATAATGGGAAGTTGTTTATCGTCTATCGTGGTCAAGGTCTATCAAAGGGAGATTTTGAGAAACTCTTCAAGACCAAAGGTGGGTTAATGTCCTTCAACAGCTTTTTATCTACCAGTACAAAACGAGACGTGTCTCTTCGCTTCGCTAAAAACGCCTTGACAAAAACTGACACAGTCGGCATTATCTTTCATATGCTAATCGATCCTACCATTTCGTCCACTCCATTTGCCGCCATCGATGAAGTCAGTTACTTCAAGACGGAAAAGGAACTTCTCTTCTCGATGCATACTGTTTTTCGGATCGGTGAAATTACCCAAATTGACAAAAACGAGTCACTCTATCAAGTGGAACTTCGGCTTACAGCTGACGATGACCCTCAACTTCGTATACTCACCGATTGTATACGAGAAGAAGTGGCAGGTAATACAGGATGGAAACGAATGGGTATTTTGTTACTGAGAATAGGACAATCCGATAAGGCCGAAGAACTGTATAACGTACTGTTAGAACAGGCATCCGACGAGAGTGAAAAAGCATATTATTATCATCAGCTTGGATCTGCCAAAACTGATCAAGGTGATTATAAAAAGGCTATTGGGTATTACGAACAAGGACTTGAAATCTTCAAAAAAACTCTTCCACCTGACCATCCTTTGTTGGCTACTTCCTACAGCAACATTGGTGAGGTGTATGATAATATGGGAGAGTACTTGAAGGCACTCTCGTGGTATGAAAAAGCACTTGAAATCCAACAGAAAACTGTTTCTTCTAATGATCTTCCATTGGCTACTTCTTACAATAATATAGGTAAAGTGTATGACAGCATGGGAGAGTACTCGAAAGCACTTTCGTTCTATGACAAAGCACTTGAAATCAAAGAGAAAACTCTTCTTTCTAATCATCCTTCATTGGCTACTTCTTACAACAATATTGGTAAGGTGTATGACAGTATGGGAGAGTACTCGAAAGCACTTTCGTCTTATGAAAAAGCACTTGGAATTCAAGAAAAAATTCTTCTTCCTAATCATCCTTCATTAGCTGCTTCTTATAATAACATCGGAACAGTGTATCAGAACATGGACGAGTACTCAAAAGCACTTTCGTTTCACGATAAAGCACTTGAAATTCAACAGACAGCTCTTCCTCGTCATCATCCTGATTTGGCTACTTCCTACAACAACATCGCTACTTTATATTACAACATGGAAGAGTACTCGAAAGCACTTTCGTTTTATAAAAAAGCACTTGAAATCTGCCTGAGAACACTTCCTGCTAATCACCCTTCATTAGCTACTTCCTACGACAACATGGGTAGTGTGCATAACAGCATGGAAGAGTATTCAAAAGCACTCTTCTTTCATAAAAAAGCGCTTGAAATTCGTCAGCAAACTCTTCTTCCTAACTATCCTGAATTGGCAACTTCCTACAACAATATGGGTAGAATCTATGATAGCATAGGAGAGTACCCGAAAGCACTTTCTTTTTCTAAAAAAGCAATTGAAATTCTACAGAACATTCTTCCTCCTACTCATCCTCATTTGGTTACTTGCTACAACAACATAGGTGATGCGTATATGAATATGGGAGAGTACTCGAAAGCACTCTCGTTTTTTGAAAAAGCAATTGAAATTCAACAGAAAACTCTTCCTACAAATCATCCTCATTTGGCTACTTCCTACAACAACATCGGAATGGTGTACGACAGCATGGAGGAGTACTCAAAAGCACTCTCCTTTTATAAAAAAGCGCTCGAAATTCGTAAGGAAACTCTTCTTCCTAACCACTCTGAATTGGCTGCCTCCTACAACAATATCGGATTGGTGTATAACCACATGAAGAAGTATTCAAAAGCACTCTCGTGGTATGAAAAAGCACTTGAAATCATCGAGAAAACTCCTCTTCATAATCAGATTTCATTGGCTAGTTCATACAACAACATCGGTGCATTGTATATGAATATGAGCGAGTACTCGAAAGCATTTTTATTTCATGGGAAGGCACTTGAAGTTCGACAGAAAACTCTTCCTCCTGATCATCCTGATTTGGCTACTTGCTACAACAACATTGCTTCTTTGTATTACCATATGAAAGATTATTCTAATGCGCTCCCATATTTTCAGCGTGCATTGGACATTTGTCAACGTTCATTACCTCCAAATCATCCTCATCTGCAAAATACGCAGGAAAATATTGAAGCTGTGAAGAAAAAGATTTTTTTTAATTGTATCTGATGAATGAATAGATGTGTCTTTACACTTAATTTAAACTGCTCTCTATGTTTCATTTCATTCCCTCTTCGATATGCGTACATGGAATTTCTCTGTAAGAAAAGATGACTCTCGTTACTGTACATTTTATTGAATTGATCGTTGAAAAGAGATTTCGACTGACAAACTAGTTTTCTATGTAGTATCATTCTAGGATAATTTTCTTGTTATTTGTTTCTCTCTGCAGTATTCAATATCAAACTTTTCTTTCGGACTGAGACGAAAATCGATGAGATTCGTTATATTCGAGAACATAAACGATATCTGAGGGTGTAAGTGTGGGTGAAGAAAAGAGGAATCACAACACACACTCACACCCACATCCTCAGTTATAACACACTAAGTCTACTGGTGCTTTCGATAGTAATGTATTGAATAATTTTTTCTCCAATATATGCCATTAAAGTATGGTGGAAGTTTCGTTATTTCATGAGCATCTACTACTGTGTAAGCGTAGTTGTGTATGAGGTGCAAATGCATTATTTACAACTATATTCAAAATCTAACACAAGAATGTGAATGTGGATGCGAATTCTAATATAACGCATGGTATCTGAAACAATAGTGTCAATACCTATGCCCTGGAAAGATGATTTTTACATTAGAGAATATTTCTATTAAATATTAAAATGCTGACACCGTTTCACATACATATAATTTATACAAATGAATAAAAACATAACGCATCAAACAGTTTCTCATTATTACACAAAAACAACTTTAGAACATAAACGAATAAAAAATGTTTGTACGTAAAAAGTGGCATTATAGTTAACACTTGCTTGTAGAATATTTTACATATCTGTCGTTTTTCATACTCTTAGTATCGAAAAAGAAAAAAAAATCTTATAATAGAATTTATTTCGATCTATTTAAAATGGTCCAATCTCTCGTTCAATTACAATAACGACATCCATATTGAAACGAAATCTCTACAATTACGAAGAGAATACTATGTAGAAATTTTGATTTAGATAGATTCTCTTTCTGTTAATAACATTAGAATATATATCATGTTCTTTCCAAACGAAAACATAAACATCATCTCGATCATCGTCGCCGACTAGACGGCGAACGGAAAAGAAAAGTATGTT